AAATCTGTCGGAATTCCGTCGGTTAACAGGGTCGTCGGAAATTCGTCGATTAACAGGGTCGTCGGAAATCCGTCGGTTAACAGGGCCGTCGGAAATCCGTCGGTTAACAGGGCTGTCGGAAATCCGTCGGTTAACAGGGCCGTCGAAAATCCGTCGGAACTTATGCCCGTCGGAAATCTGTCGGAACTTATGCCCGTCGGAAATCCGTCGGAAATCATTCCGACAGATTTCCGACGGATTTCGGTTATCCTTTTTCCGTCGGAAATCCGTCAGTATTTCCGACGGATTTCCGACAGATTTTTAATTTCCAACGAGATAGAACCGACGGACCAAAACCGTCGGACAGCCGTCGGAATAGGGCTATTTCCGACGGATTTCCGACGGTTTTGTCCGTCGGAAACGGCCCTGTTTTCTTGTAGTGCGAATAGGGTAGTCGATCCCATCGAGGAACCATCCTTTGAGAACAAGAGGCTTATGATCCAGACAAGAACCATTAGAGCAAATCTTTGACCAAGTGTGGAAGAAATTCCATACGGAAACACCATCGGCCACCATGTGATTGTAACCAAAACTAATGAAGACTCCGTCTTTAAACTCGGTGACTTGCAAAGCAAGCAAGGGCTTCGAGACGCCATCGATATTCTTGACGCTGTTCGAGGGGAAGAAACACCTGAAAAAGTCGGGAACAGAACCATCAGGTTGAAGAAGATCTCTTACTGAGACAGATTCGGCTACGGCATGGACGAATCTGGCTCCTAGGGCGTCGTCAAAATCGATGTAAAACGACACCGTATTGTCTTCTAGATTGTTCACTTTAACAAGACGACCGGCAAACGGATAGTAGATCTCTAGTGCAGTAGAAAGAGAAGTCTTTAACCGAGAGATGAAACGTGTTTCTGGGTCAGGTTTGGGGAAGAGAAGACCCCTTTGAGGGTAATCGAGATAAAGAAGGTGAAGATCAGATGGAGTGAGATGGATCTTTGCCCGACCTGATTGATCGATGTTAGTGGGTTGAACAATGCTCGAAGAAATCACTTTCACATCTGCCATATTTTTTGTCAAGAGAAGGAAACCGAAAAACTTTGTAATACCAAACTAAATCATTAATAACCACATGGAAGAAAACTCGTAGCCTTATCTTTAAAGCTTGACCTCATGCACTGTACGCACGATGATAAAATTATTGATGTATGAATAGACCACTATTTATTAAAGTGCTTTTAATTGCTTCAAACTTTTAACCGAAATATTTATGTTGATGGTATATATACATCAAGCCTATGATATTTACTTTAAATGATGTTAGGTTCTATTTTATTGTTAATT